AGGAGGGCCGGGGGGCTCTCGCTGCTCCCCCCCCAGGAGTGGTCCGACATGCAGCCCCCCCCCCCAGGGGCGTCCCAGGTCAGCAGGGGGCTAACCCTGCTGTCTTGGCCCACTTCCTACCTAGGTCACTGCCTGCTGCCCCCGCGAGCAGGTGCGAGGCTCCTAAACCACTGTGCCTCGCTTGGCCGAGCAGGGTTGGGGGACCCCTGGTTTGGGCTGTGCGAACAGCAGCTGGGGGCAGCGGTGGGGGGAACTGCCAGTGCCCGTTCGTCCCCCTGTCTTCTCTAAGGAGGGCTGGTGCGATCTGGATTGGCGGTGAGGGCAGCAGTCAAGGGCTGAGCCTCCCCCACCACCATGCCAATCCTTCTCTGAGCTGAGCCCAGGAAGGGGTTTGCAGCAGGGGCAGAAATGGCTGCTGTTGGGGCTCATGAAAACTTTATGACAACTCTTCTCCCTGTGCCGCCGCAGTCCCTGGCAAAATCCCCCGGCTCTGTCAGGAACAAAGCTCCGGCAAACTCTGCTCAGTGAATTTAAGCTTCCCCCGGTAGACACCTAAGGACGTGGCTCTAAGTGGGCAGCGAGCTATGGACTGGACACAGAGGGGACCTTCCCCTGCCAGCCAGTTGGCACAAGGGTTCAGATGACCCAGGGCTGAGATCCCAACTGAGGTGCAACTTGTAACCTAGATGATGCTTTCCTCTGCTGACGAGCTGGTGAGGCACAGAATTAGTGGATCTGGTGTACATCAAATGTCTACCAACACCATCCTCATGACACACCCTCACACAGGCATCTCCATGCTGATCTTAACAGTAGGCCTGGTCTTGGGCAGCGTGAGTGCCTTGACTGGGCACTGGACTGAATTAAGGCGAGGTCTAGACACGGGCCTGGTGGGTGAAATCCCTGTCTCTGCGCCCCACTTTCTGCCCCTCTTGGTCATTGGTCTTATCTATCCAGAATATCAGGCCTCTCTTTGGTCAGTATCTCCTGCGAGGGGCCTGGCTCTCCGTTTGGGTACTACAAACCCACATCTATTAGCGATAACACTGCATCCCTCATACATGGCAACAAACTAATCCCCGGGGAAACTCCACCAACTCCATGCACCAGTCTGGCTCATTGTGGTCACCGGCTGCTGCAGTGGGATTCTCTGCCTCCTCCCCGTGCTGTCAGGAGTTGGATACAAAATGCCCTAGCAACTACTGATGCTTGGTGGCCTCGGCATTTTATTATCAGGGATTAACTTAGCCAGTGCAAGTGGCTGGGCTCTAAATTCAAGGTAATGAGTATTAGATGAGCCCGTAGAATTAGATGCGCATTTAGGTTAATTAAGCTGGCAGCCTTCTGAGTTATGGCAACTAGTTGAAGGGAGCAGAGGCAATTTTCCAGCCTTGGACATGGGCTGTCAGCAGTCTGTCAGTGAAGAGGAGGACCAGCTCTTGGCAGGAATGGCCAGCCCCATAGCAGCCTTCGGAGACTGACAAAAACGAATCCTGCAGGTTCTGTCAGCCTCATCTGCCGAGCCTGACAAACGAGATTTAGTGCCAGGAGCAGCGGGCATCCTGGAAAGGGCAGGCACAGAGAGAGGGTTTCATAGGCACGCTTCCCTGCAGGCTTCAGGCCACCAGAGCATAACCGTGTCCTCAGGTCCAGGTGGGCAAGTGTCAGCAAATGGGGCAGCCCTCAGAGTTACACAAAGTGCCTCCCTAGTCAGCCTCCATCTTACTGCCGAGTTGCAGCTTGCAGAGACTACAGGTCCCACCATGCAGTGCTCTGTCTTGAGCCAGCAGCCAGGCTGCACTGCATGCTGGAACGTACAGGTTCTGCAGCCCAGCCAGCCCGGCTGTGGCCATCAGCGGTTCTTTTATTTGTCTAGAGAGCATTGCTCATGGCAATATCTTGGCAAGCTAAACACAACCCTCCAGCTCCTGGCTAGTTGTCAGTGTAGCCACTAGGGGTTACCAGGTCACTTGTTGGGCTAGTTACTTTTCTTAGCTACAACAGCCTGACTAGTGATTTCAGTGGATTCACACAGGAGTAACGGAGGGAAGAATTGGGCCCTAAGAAAGCAAGACATGCTTATGTTTTTGCTGCTTTCTTTGTGGTGCATCCTTTCAGAGTGAAAGTGAGACATGTACCAGGAATGGCGGAGCCATGGAAGATGCGAAAGGCAGAAGTCAGGGTGTTGCCCATTGCCATGTCGCATCAGTATTCATTATTTGGAAAGCCCCAGCTGATCAGTACCCCATTGTCCTGGGTAGCATCCATGCATTTAGTCAGAGACAGTCCTGCTCCAAAGGCCCTGCCTCTAGGAAGCATTATTAGTTTTTCTTCAGGGCTGCAGAATGGAGGCCCGGAGACTCAGGACGTCTCTGGCAGGGCCAGGGAATGAACCCGAGCTTCCTGAGTCCTAGACCCATGTCTTAGTCACAAAACCATCTTTTCTCAGTTTGAAGCAATCACTCCAGAGGCCCAGTCCAAGCCCTGAGCATGTGTTAGCTCACACGTGCTGAGTGAATCATGCTTAGCACTGCATCTCCACAGCAAACAGCCTTCACAGCCCCTCCTCCCTGGGAGATCTGGGTTTTTCATGAACCAAGTCTCTCTACACATGAACTGTTTGTGAATGAGCCTAACCCAGAAGGGCCTTTCATCTCAGCAAAAGAAACCTAGCTCCCTCTACACTTCTCCCATCTGATTCACAGCCGGGCAGAGGTGTCTGTCTCCTTGCAGCCGCACCAGAGCTGATTGCTCTACAGTTAAATGGCTCACAGCTCTTGCCTTTCATCTCCGGGGCTGGCAGCAAATTAACGTGTCTGCACTCCAGACAGAAGGTGTGAGGGAATGGGAGTGGGGGGGGAGGGAGTGTACGGTGCACCAGGGGAGGGCTTGGGTGCTGTGCTGCTCTTGGAGTGGTAATGATCTTGGAAGGAGTTTTGGCCCTTACTCGCATCAGCAGAAGCAGCCTCTGAGTGGGTGGACGGCTCATTGCAAATCTTCCCCCATAATTCCCTGCTCCTTGTATTCTACCTGCACCATCTTGGCCCCAGCCCTAGACACCAGGGTTGGCAGGTCATGGAGGGTACCTTGCAACACGCATTCCAGGAAATCCACAGCCACACAGGAAGGTCAGTGCTGTCATTCTGCACCCCCTTCAAGAGCCAGACACCTTCCTCATAAGCTAAAGGAGAATCTCCACTGCCTGTCAGCAATACAAGGCCTGTGACACACACCTGAGCAGTTTGCAGTCCATCCAAGAGGGGGTAGCAGTGCATGCACAGGTACACATGCATGCACAAGGACATGCATTCACATATACACACCCCACACATGCTCACTTCAATATTATTCTACAAAGACTTCTGTAAGCCTCATTGTCTTGCACCTTCTTGTTCCTCTCTCATGAAGGCATGAGCCTGGAGAGGAAAAAAGTGCCCTTACCTGTTATGCTCCTTGCTGACTCCATGTTCTCCACCCAGCTCCCTGCTTTATCACAGAAGGACTTGCAAAGCACACCATTAGCTACCTCCCATGTCAATGTGTCATGGCAATAACTAAAAGCCCAACCCAAACCTTCTCAATTAGCACTGACAATTAAAACTTAAAACTGATTTTGGCCAGGCAACACAATGTATTTCCAGTGCTTCTGACAGGCTCAGCTCGGGAGCCCACGCACTGCCTTTCTTCAGGCACAATTACAAATTCAGTATTAATTGCAAATGTATCATTCAGTTTCATGTGATTGTCAGACAAAGGATCTGTATGACAGCTAAGCCAGCTGGAAGCCTGGTGTTGACGTAACTGTGGCAGGGTGCATAGGGCATCTGCCACCTGAAGAGAAGTAGCCTGCGAAGCAGCCAGGAGGTGGCAAGGGGGGGCTAATGAGAGCCTCACCTGGTTTGAAAAAGGGCTGGCCTTGAGATATATAAACTCAAGCCCTGGGAGGAGCCAGCAGTAAGATCCTGGAGGCTGTTCAGGGAATATTGTCTCAGCAGGAGGGCTGCAGCTCCTAAATGCCAACACAGAGAGTACAGCTAGCAGCAGTCTGGAGGCTTGGAAAGCAACTAAGGGGTGAAGGAGATTCCTGAGGACCCAGTGAGGGGTCTGGAGCCCAGAGAGGGGCTGCATGTGTGAGATCAGGGAGGGTCCAGAGCCCAGAGAGGGGCTGAGTGAGATGGGGTGCGCATCAAGGAGTGATAACACCTGTGAGGCCTGGGGTGTGGTGTAGGGGTGGATCGGAGCCACACAATTAGCCCTTATGACGATGACTGCAGACATCCGGTGGTCATGTGAATGAAATCAAGTTGGGAAGCCCTGAGGCAACCTCCTTTATGTAAATAACAGTGTAAATCAAGGTATGACAGGTGAGAGAAGGGGTGACCGCCCAAAGAGTGGGAGGGCTGGAGGGACTCAGGGGGCTTCACGGCCACCCTTTGAAGGTGCCCTGCTGCAGTAGCAATGGGCAAGCGGGGCTCAGTCTAGTATGTTGAGGCATGGAAAACTCAGAATTGCATAGGGCCGGGAATGGTTGAGGACCTGGCCCAAGTTGGAGTGCTCATGAGACAGCAAGCCAACCCTCTGCTGGCATTTGGAGGGGGTACGGCGATTTGTTAGGAAGAGGAACAATAACAACTTTTAATGACATCATCCAGGGAAGGGCCTTAACTTCAACTGTGTCTTTCTTCTGCTTCCTAATCCAGATTATTTGCTGTGGATGGATGCTAACTGCAGCCACAGGGTCAGTCAGAACCCTGCAAACCCCTGCAGAGTTGTAGGGATATGACCTTAGGAAGCTGGAGCAGGTCCTGAGGACCCAATCCAGACAGGTGTTTGAGCATGTTTTCATCCTGGACTCATAGGTGATCTGCAGCAGGCAGAGACGTACTCAGGACACTTCTTGAACCGGGGCCCTGAGAAGTCATCAGTGAGGGTAAGGCCCATAGAATGGGTCTGAAGAAAGCGTGTGCTGCACTGGTGGGATTCCTTAGCAGTGAGGGCATGGCAGGAGGTGAAGGGGGGTGGGTCTTGTAGGTCATTTGGGAGAACAGTTGCTCAGCGGACCAGATTCCAGCCGTATCACACAAGCAGCCCAGAAGAACATATGTTGGGTGGCCTCAGAGCATAAACTAACCTCTGCAGGGAGAGGAGTGACTATATTTGCTCCTGGGTGGTCACCTATGGCCCTCTTGCCTGGAGCACGGCTGCATAAGGTCAACGCAGAGGGCCTCCACATGGGACCTTTCATGTCAAGGCTCCCATGGTGGGCCTACCAGAGGCAGAGGGTGCAGGGGGATGTTTGCGGGGACTCGTCTGCCCCTTAAAGAGTGGGAAGGCTTCCAGCCCATGGCAATACAGTGTTTCAGAGAGGCTCAGCTGGGAGCTTGCAGAGTGGCCCCAGCAGTTTGCTGGAGAAGCTGACGGGTAGGCCTGACAGCCAGGACAGCTGCCAGGGCGGCTGGTGGAGCTTAGCTGTCACATCCTTCAGAGAGACCGGGTCACCAGAAGGCTCATACCCATCCTGAATTCCTCCCCCCCACGCCCACCCGTCTGCTGGGGCTGGGGCCCCCACCGGAGCTGGAGTCACTGTTCTGCCTCCCTTGGCTAGCAGATGCTCCTCCTCCAAAGCTGTTCTCCGGCTGCTGAAAGGCCTCATCCAAGCACTTCTTTCCTGCTGGGCTGGCGGGTCCCAGCCTCTGAGTGAGAGGCTCAAATTCATCCCTGGCATCACCCCAGCACAGAGATGGGTGCATAAAGTCAGGGATGAATTTGCTGCAGTCACTGCCTCCTCTGCCCTCTGCCTCCCCACTCCTTCATCCCTTATTACTGAATGGGAGCTAAATGCTTAGCAGTGGGTGGGGGAGCACTGAGGGCATCGCCCCAATAGTGGAGCAAGCAGGGGACTCTGTCTTTCTTCTGTGTACTTCTTCACCAGGGCTTGGGAAAAATGTTCCTTTCCCAAAAGACTGGCTCTGAGTGTGGTGGGTTTCTCCTGCCCCAGACAGATCTGGGCCTGTGTCCTTAGGAGCCAAGTGCGAGTACAAGCATGTGTGAAAGGGAGACCAAGAGCAAATCCTGATTCTTCCACATCAGCCCCCATCCTCAGGTCTTAAAAGGCTTTGCAAGACCTCCACTGGGTTAATAGTACAGTATTGCCCTTTCACTGACAGGTACAGAAAGAGGGAAAGCATGCCCAAGAGCAAAGACACAGCCTACACCCAAGAGCAAAGAGGCAGTCAGCATTACAGAGCCCTGGAATTCCAGTCCTGTGCTTGAAGCACTAGACTGCTTCTCCCCCGCCCCAGGGATGGCATCAGGGGCTGGAGACTTAACTCTAAGGGACTCATCGCTGGGCCTGATGTTAAGAGGTGCTGACAGTGCTAAGCACCCCTGGGAACCAGGCCCGGCCCTTCCTTATGGCTCTTTCTGCTACATGGGCAGTGGCAGAACCTGAGCCCAAAGTCACTTTCTGCCCCTCTTTCCCCTGCCAGGGCCAGGGCTGCCCTGCACCTGCTTGGAGCTGCTCAGGCGCAAGCTGAGACCACTTCATTTTGATAGTGGAAAGGAATCTGTTCCAGTTGGAAGACAATTACGGCCTTTCCCTGTTTGGCTCAGGCTGCCTCACACCCAGAACATTAAGGAGATGAATGTAGTGCAGACAGGAGCCGCAGTTAGTAGCAGCCTGTCTTTCTCCTCCAAGGATCTACATCCGAATCCCTATTAGACCAATGGGTGCCACAGCCTGTTTCTAAACCCTTTTGCAGGATTATCTGAGGCACAAAACCAAGTGAGGGGTGATAGGTGCCTGCTCAGACCAAGAACCAAAGGAGGGCACTTAGAAAGCTGCAGGTGCAAGCCTAGGGCTGGATCTGAGTGGGTGCTGCAGGATGGGACTTAGGGGTATTTGCAGACTACATGGAGGAATTTATGCCTCACTCCCCGCCTCTGCCCAGCACAGCTAGCGCCTCCTTTTCACAAAGGTTAAATTCTGCAGCAGAAAGCAAATAAGAACCCCTCCCAACCTGGCACCACGTTGGCCAAAGGGAGGCAGGTTCAGTGACACGTCTTATCTGTGATGTTGGCTGGCCCAGGCACAAAAAGAGGACACCGACCCAGACACACTTCCCAAGGCAGCTCCAGACACATGTGCACTCCCTTTCTGTCTGAGCCTTTGGAGCAGAGCAGGAGCCTGGATGGACTGATGGGAATTGGTGACCACTCATTCTTGGGAGCTCTCTGAAAGAGAAGATGCTCCAAAGACAGCGAGCAGGCTCCGCCGCCCCAGCCGGCGAGGAAGCAGCCTGTGGCTGTGAGACTGATTGCTCCATCTCACGGTACAACGAGACAGAATTAATCGAGACCTGAAGGCTGCCTCCTCGGTGAAGTGGGGTGAATAGGACTGATACACACAACTGGCAGCTCTCACACTGCTCCTGGCAGCCGTTTTATGGTAATTGGAGGGAGAAGCAGAAGTAATTAGCAGGCGTCTGACACCAAGAGAATTAAACGCTCCAGCCTTTTCCCCTCTAGTCTCGCTTAATGCTTAAGACTCTGCAGGACATGCCAGGCCAAGAGCGTGGGAAGAGAAAGGGCCCTCAGTATCCCTCTGCTCACTGCAAATGTGCCTCTGCTCACTGCCTGTAAATGTGCCGTCAGTGCACACCCCTGGCACATGCACCCTGCCAATTCGTTGTGCACACTTGTCCTCCCAGTAGACACTCACTGTGCACCAGTGCGCTGCTAGTGCACACCCAACGTGCACATGCCCCCTGCCCATATGCACCTGCTGTGCACATGCCCCGTGCCCATGCACACCCACTCTGCGCACTCTGCCATCACATAGCTACATGTATGCTTTGCCCATATACACTAGCACACATACTAGCATTCCATACAAACCAAGCCCCGTTCTCCCCCCTGCAGCATACATTTGTGCACACACATGCAGACCCCATCCATGCTGCACACACACATCCATCAGTGCCCCTTTGGGCATACCTGGCCTATACCCACATATCCTACATGCACACACCCCTCACAGGCACCCCATGTGTGTGTGCGTGCATTCCCTGTATCCACATGCCCGTGGCTAGTGAGTGACACTTACCAGGCACCGGCTCCAAAGTGGCCGTGGAATGGAATGAACCTCCACAGAGCCCTGACAGGCAGAGGACAGCTCTCCCCATACGTCACTGCCTACACGTAGCCACCCCCACCCCCCACTGCAGGCCTGGGAAAGCCCACGCTGTCTGACCACGAGGCCTTGCAACTAGTGGAGCATGAGTGAAATATGCCCCAGCCTACCAGCTGCCGTGGGCACCTCCATCCCTCCAAAACTGCTGGAAAAAGAGCTGCCAGGAGGGTCTGTCCCCCCTTGAGAAAAGGGAAGGGAAAAAGCTAGAGCGCTTATGATGTCCCTAGGCAGGGGCTGGCCACCTGTTATTAATGGCCACAGCAGTTACGCTGGATTTAACCCAGACTTAGGTGGAGGCCAGCGTTTCTCCCCGACATACCAGCACCTGGGAGATGAACCAGATTGGAGGCAGAGGTCCCCATAGCTCGTCCAGGCTCCTCCAGTCATTTCCTTTGCCGGCTTTGCAGAGCTGGGGGCAAGCAAAGGGCTGAGACCAGACAGAAAGGAAGCCGCAGTGCTCCCTGCCCAGACTCACCTCCCTGCTGTCTGGGCTGTGACAGCACTGATGGTATGGTATGTCTGCCTACCCAGCAGAGAAGTGAGGCGGCCTGCCTCTCTGTCTCCATTTCTTGCCCCCAGGGACAGGTCCCTGTATCGAGTGCGGGGCAGCTGATCTATACCATAAGCTGCATTTCCTCTCTCCCAGGGCCACCGCCTGTGGTGACTCCATCCTGCTGAGTGCCCCCCTCCCCACACGCCCCAGCTGCCGTTGCTTCCAATGGAAAGTGACACCCTGCACGGCAGCTGCCCCTTCCCTGCACCTGCCAGGGGCCTCCTGGCTGGGGCAGTGCCTGGTGGGCACTCAGCTGTCCTGGCCTTCCCCCTGGCTCCTTCAGCCCCAGGCTGTCTCATAGGATCAGACAGGGATTAGCTTTAGGAGGGGGAGACTCGGAGGGTCAATGCAGGTTTGGAACAGGCGACTCCACACAGCCCTGCAGGAGGGCTGCTGGGGGATGACGGGCTTCACAGCAGCCAGGCTCAGGGTAAGAATAAAGGAGGCCAGTGCTGAGAGTAGCAGACACAGGGAGAGCCCCAGAATGGTCCTGTAGGCAGGGTGGCCCTGGCTAATTCCTCCATCTCTGTGCTGGACCAAGGAGCTGTGCCCCCACAGCTGAGGGAGGCAGAGGCCCAGGAAATAACGTATCATTGGAGCTGAGGAGTTGAGTCTTCGCTGACAGGAGTGTAGCTGCCAGCAGGCTGGAGGAGGAGAGCCCAGGTGAAGCCCAGGGGATGGGGTGGGCAGAGGCAAGGAGGCATTAATGAGGCCAAGGCTCAGCTGACAGCTGGGAGTGGTGACAGGTGGCCCCATGGGTGGGGCACTGGGTTGAGACCAGCAGATTTGGGTCCCGGCCACACTCAGCTGCAGGCTGGGTGGATGAGTAGCAACCCCCGAGGGACAAAGCCTGCTCCCAGCTGCGCTTGTGCCTCTGCACTGCAGCCAGGTGGCAAATACTGCAGCAGCCAGGGGCCTCAGCAGTGCTGGCTGGGCACAGCAAGCTCCACCCCAGTCCCACTGAAGTCATCAGCAAGGTGCCCCTGGCATCACTGAGAGGGATCAAGCCCACCAGGTAAAGAGTCTACAGCTGGGGGACCAAGCCCAGCTTGGGCTCTTGGAAGGAGGCTGAGCAGTGATGGCTTCAGGTGGGGCAGAGGGTTTGAGACCAGGCTGGGCAGTCAGTGTTGCCAGGGAACAGAGCCCTGTGAAAGAAGCCCAACTAGGAGGAAAGTTTTGGGGGGCAGCAGGTGAGGCCATGGTCTTGAGTGGGGAGGAGGCAGAGCAGCTGGGCATGCAGTAAATGTGCTGCTGGGTGAAGATTGCACCTTCCTGGCTACACAGTGCAGTCAGTTAAATCCCCTGTGCTTTGCCCCTTCCTGTCCTCTACCCAGGGGCTTCCCTCTGCTCACGCTGCACCGTGGAAGCAGCAGCAGCTCTGCAGTGCTCACATCCCTGCACGTGTTTATTGCTTGCAGTCGCCCAGCTCAGTTAGCTGTCTGAGCACCCCACACCCCTACAGAGCAGGCCTTCCACCCCAGGATGAGGAGGGCTGGAGCAATGGGCTTGGGCAAGTCACTTGATCTTGCTGTGCCTCAGTCCCAGTCGCTAACATGGGGATCATAGTGCTGCTTTTCTGTCCAAAGGCTGGACAGGGAAGGATGCAATACCTCACAGGAGGTGCCAGGTTAGACGAGGCTGCCTGGTGAGGTAGGACCAGGATTCCTGCCTTGGGGCCCCAGTCTCTGCCCCCTTGACCCAGGCCTGCCTATAAAACCTGCTGCGCAGAACTGTGAGCAGGCATGAGCCCACCTGAAGACCACTTCTGAGTCAGGTCTCTTGCTGGCACCGATCTACCACTCGTACTAATGCCCCGGGCTGCCCCTCACTGACATGGCCATTATCCTGGGCTTTGCACTGGCACCTGCTGCAGGCAGAGAAATGGTGCTCCACCATGCAGGGACCTTGACCCTGACTCCTGCTGCCAGAAGCGGGGATTGTGTTGAGTTGGGGTGGGGCAGGGCTCAGGAACACTTGGACTTGCTGGGAAAGGCGGCTCCTCCTTTCCCACAGCAAACCCAGGTGGCCAGGCCTGCTAATCCCCCTCCCCTGGCACAGCTGCCTCTCATCACCTGTGCTGATGAGCCCTGAGGCTGCTGAGACAGTTTTTATATGGGCAGAGCTTCCCTCCTTCCAGCTAGCGGTTGGAAGCAGCTATGAGCAGCCAGTTGTCAGTGGGGCCTGGCTATCAATTACTTTGCCTAGAGCTGCCAAGCCCATGCTGCTTCTTTATGAGGCAGTGGGACAATGGCACTGGCTACCGGTGCTAGATTTCCCTGGTTCTGCCTTTCCACAAATCCAGCTTCTGGGGTTGCCCTGCAGCTGCATGCTCTTCAGGTTAGATTACAGGGAGGAGTCAGCACAGCTGTGCCCTTTTCCTGGCAACCTCGTGGGTAAGTCAGCATCCCCTCTTTGCAAAATGGGAGTGAAGCCATATTGCCTGGTGGGAAGTACTTTGAAGCTGGCTGGGGATTTGCAGGGCAGTGGGGGACCCTGGGCTCCAGAGATGTGCACCTTGTCTCTAGACTGGCACCTGGGTCCCAGGACACTGTTCCCACCACTCCTGGTTCTAGATATGCTTTACGGGCTGCCAGCATGTAGCTCCCAGTAGGTGCGTGTGGATCTTTGCTGTGTCTCATGGTTGGGCCATGTAAGAAGGCTGTGAGTCCCCTGGCTGGCAGGGGCTTAATCCTTTAGCTCCAGCAGGACCAGCTCTTATCTCTGGTGAGCTCAGGTGCAAACACTGCTGCAGGCCCAGTTACAAAAGCCCTAGTGAACAGTGCTGGGTTCAGCATGTCAGGAGCTCCAGCTTGGTGCCAGAGAGTGGTATGTGGCCTGAAAGATGCTACCCAGGGCAGTTGTGAAATCCCCATTGTGCAGGGGCTGTAAGAATGGGTTGGACACACTTCTCAGGAAGGGTCTAGCTCTGTCTGTGGCTATGAGGAAGCTGGATTGGCAGCAAGTGAGCAGGGGCAAGAGCTCAGCTAAGCACAGGGTTTGTGTGTGGGCTGGGAGACCCGGGAAGCAGGCAGAGCCTGGGGGTCTCAGCAGGACGGGGTCAAAGCTGTTGTGATCAGAAGCATCAGCAGAGGGTGGAACTTGTCTCTGGCTTTAGTTCCAGACAGCAGGGGAGTTTTCCCCTGGTCCACATGCCATGAATGGAAGGAAAGCTGGGCTCTTTGGGCATGATAGAGAGGCGGGCATGCAGTACTTGCTGTGTGGAGGGAGCCTCCCTGTGACTCAAAATCCTCTCCTCCTGTAATAATTGTGAAGGTCAGTCAATAGCACATCGACGGCGTCATCACCTGCCAGAGTACTGTGCTCCAAGGGTAGCAGGGGAGACCATGCACAGAGCACCAGTGCTGCAGAAGCTAGGAGAGGATGTGAATGGCTGGGCGGTCGGTGCTATGGTCTCTGGCACTCCTGGCTGGGTCCAAGGCTGGCTGGGCCGCAGTGGGGAAAAAGACTTGTTGTAGGCAGGACAGTGATTTTACTGCATTGGGTGATGACAAGTGGTGCCTGTTCCAGGGGGAGATGGGGTCAGGCATCCAAAGGGCCTGGCTTGGCTACCTTGTTCTCGTGGCTCTGAGGGCGTAGGAGGGATTTTCATGGGTAGGGCTGCATGAGGGATCCTACAGAACAGGCCTGGGGCACTTGCTAGCTGGGGCACAGTGCCTCCATCCCTGAGACGGACAGAGACAAGGGTGGGGTGGCTGGTTACTTCTCACCCACAACCACCCCCTGTGTAGGTCTGAAAGGGCTGGGAGCCAGCTGCACGGCAGAGCCTCTTCTCAGTACCAGCGTCTTGAGCCCTCGCTCCCGGTGGGCTTGGAGCTGGTGCCCTGACCTGCTGGCTGTTCCCCTCAGCCTGGGAAGAGCGATGGGAATGCCTCGCATGCAGCTGAAAGGTGCAGCCTGTCGGGGAAAGGGGAGACACTGGGGCAGGAAAGGAGCCCGGGGCCTAGTAACTGGGGCAGCTTGTAGCTCCTAGAGACAACAGCCCTTTGTGCTTGTACACCACCCTCCAGGGGTGGCAGGTCCATTCATAGACAGGGCTGAATCTTCCCACCCTCCACCTGCAAGGGTGGCAGCAGCAGCATCCCCATTGCACAGAAAGGGAAACTGAGGCAGGGGAAAGGAATCGTCCTGGCTGAGCTCACTTAGGAGTCCCGAGTCGCCAAACAGCCCGTGGGTCACCTGCTGACACAAGGGCTCCCTCAGCCTCGTGAGATAGAGGGGAACTCTGTCCTGGTTCTGCCCTGCCCTTCCTCCGGGGTCCCTGGGTCTCTGACACCAGGTGCCTCCATCAGGCCTGGGACACCTCGTCACCTGCCCCTGCTGCAGAGCCAGCGGTGGGACCTTGCTGCCCCCTGCTGTCCCC